GCTTCTTGCCCTGCCAGACAAATCTAGAAATATCTCTCTGCCACTTCTTGAAACAATCCATCTTGTCCACAATTTGCAATGTTTGAAACAAAAACAGCATTCTAGGCAATACATTCATTTTTATCACAGCAATACGACCCAACAGTGAAAGCTTCAAATTTGACCAAGTTTCTAAATCTTTTTCACTTCCGTCCAACATTTTTCATAATTATCTTTAAATAAGTTCCCATTTTTGGCTGTCATATTAATCCCCAGATATTTCACTTTCTTAACCACAGTCAAACCTGTCTCATTCTGAAACCTCTCTCTTTCAATCGGTGTTAAATTTTTCTCTAAAACCTTAGTTTTTAACTTGTTCAGTTTAAATCCTGCCACTTGACCAAATTCTTGAATTAGTTCTAAAACCCTTTTAGTACTAGATTCTGGCTCCTGTAATGTCAATACTAAGTCATCTGCAAATGCTCTCAGTTTGTACTGTTTGGCTCCGACCTGTATGCCTTTAACCAACCGGTCCCTTCTAATCATATTCAGCAAAACCTCCAGGACCGATATAAAAAGCAGTGGGGAGATTGGGCACCCCTGTCGTGTCCCTTTTTCTATCTTAAATTCTTCCATCACCACATTATTTACAATTAATTTAGCCTTTTGTTCAGAGTATATTGCACCTATACCATTTTCAAAACCTTGGCCTACCCCCATCCCCTGTAGGTTCTTCTTCATAAAACTCCAAGAGATGTTGTCAAAGGCTTTCTCTGCATCCACAAATATCAGAACTGCTTTAGTATTTATATTCACTTCTAATTTTTCCAAAATATCAATTATATTCCTCAAATTATCAGACAAGTGTCTTCCCGGGAGAAAGCCCGCTTGGTCTTTGTGAATCTCTTCCATCAATACTTTTTTCAATCTCTTGGCCAAAATGTCTGCAAAAATTTTGTTATCCACATTAAGTAACGATATAGGGTGGTAGTTCTTAAGCTGAGTCTTTTCAGTCTCTGTTTTCGGTATAAGTGTAATGTACGCCTCTTCCCACGACTCTGGTGCCCTTTTCCCTTCCAATATTTCATTGCAGACTTCCTTCAAAGGTTGTACTAACCACTCTTTCAAAGATCTATAGTATCTAGAAGTCAGCCCATCCGGTCCTGGAGATTTGCCCAATTGCATGTTTTGAATGGCACCTTCTACTTCCTGTTCAGATATTTTGTAGTTCAACATTAATTTGCTTTCTTGAGAGATTTTTGTAATCCATTTGTATTCAAAAATCGGTCTATATCCATTTCTTTCTGTGGCCCTTGTGTGTATAATTGTTTAAAGTACCTCTGGAAACAGTTTCTAATCTCAATTGGGTTGTGTATATTCTTTCCTTCTACTTCTAGGTTTGTAATAGTATTTAATTTTTGTCTTTTTTTCATTTGCCAGGCCAGCAATTTCCCACATTTGTTAGCTGATTCAAATGTTTTTTGTCTCATTTGTTTAATTTTCCATTCTATTTCCTGATTCATCATTTCCATATATCGTACTTGATATAATTTTATCTCTCTCAAAATCTCCTGCTTCTCCAGAATTTTATCTTTCTTCTCATTTTGACTTCTCTTCTTTATTGCATTCTGTTGTATCAGAAACCCTCTCATAACAGCTTTGCTTGCGTCCCAGATTACTCTTTTTTCTACAGTAGTGTTCATATTTATTGCAAAATAATCTCTCAAAGTTTTTTGGGCCTTTTTGTAGACTTCTTCATCTCTGAATAAGGTGTCATTCATCCTCCATCTGAAGGAGCCAGTTGATATTTGTTTCATCTCCATCCTTACAGCGTTATGGTCGGAGCAAGTTTTTGGGCAGATTTCCACTTTCTTTATCTTTGGTGCCATTCCTCTAGTTACCCATATTTGGTCAATTCTAGTCCATGTCATCTTGGCTTCAGAAAAGAAGGTTCCCTCTCTTCCCAGGGGGTTCTTTACTCTCCAAATGTCCACTAAGTCCATATTGTCTGTCATCTCAAAAAATGTTTTCGGTAGTCTACCATCCTTAGTAACTACCTGTCTTTGTGCCTTGTCCATATTTGTAGATACTACTCCATTCATATCCCCCATCCAATCAGCTTGGTTCTCAAAGCTGACTCGGCTCTGTATCCTCCTCCACAGGCCTGTTTGGTAGGAGGCCCATTTGTTTTATCAGCCTGCTAAGATCCTTGCCACCTGCCTCTCTATGCTGGCTGGGGAGAAGGGGGCTTCCTCTGCAGCCAACATGAAAGCATGATGCTGCTTAGTCTCTTAGCAGGCTAGTTATAATGGAAATTTGTTTCATTTCAGGGCATTACTACATAGACCCCAACCAAGGCAGCCCGCAAGACTCTTTGGTGGCATTTTGCAACTTCACGGCTGGGGGAGAGACTTGTATTTCTCCTGTGCAAAACCAAGTAAGAATTCTAAGGTTTCTGAGCAGGGCGAAAGCTCAGTCATGCACCCAGCACCATTGCTGTTGCTGTTACTATTATTATTATTAAATGTATGATTCAATGTATGAATCTCCTTTTACATGCATGCAATAAAAACAGCTAACATATTATCCTTTTGCTTATTATTATTTCAATTATTAACCCACCCTTCACTGCAATATCCCAGGGCAGCTTAAAGCCGTTAAAGAATACAATATTACAAGCAGTTGAAAACAGGTTAAAATCACTGATTACATCATTGTTATTAGTAATAAACATAATGATCACCTTTTACATCCATCTCAAGGTGGTTTACAAACATACCATAAAACAGCTTAAAATTGTTGTTATTGTTGTTGTAGTTATCATCATCGTTATCATCACCATCTCAGTTGGTAAGAGGATAGTGATGATAATGCCAAGGTTGCAGGTTGGACTAGATGATCCTCAGGGTCCCTTCCAACTCTACAGTGCTATGATCATATGTGCCATTGCCACAGTGCTGCTGTGTAATTAATTGCAAAGTGCTTCTTAGCTGGCTGTGTTGTGTGTGTGTTTAAATAATAATATCAAAATACTCTTCCCTGCAAATTAAATGATCTTCAGGATCCCTTCCAACTCTACATTTCTCTGATTCTATTATTACAATTTCTTACCAACCCTTCACCATAAAGTCCTAGGGCAGGTTGCAGCAATTTAAAAATACAATATCAAAAGCAGTTTAAAACAAACTACCATCACAAGAATAGGGTGCGTCCATACTTTGGCCACCTCATGAGAAGAGAAGACTCCCTGGAAAAGACCCTGATGTTGGGAAAGATGGAGGGCACAAGAAGAAGGGGACGACAGAGGACGAGATGGTTGGACAGTGTTCTCAAAGCTACTAAGATGAGTTTGACCAAACTGCAGGAGGCAGTGGAAGACAAGAGTGCCTGGCGTGCTCTGGTCCATGGTGGACATGACTAAACAACTAAACAACACACACACACACAATGTCAAAAGCCAGGATAAAGAGATGCATGTTCAGCTCGTTATGGAAACTGCATAATGAAGGTGCCTGGTATCACAATGAAAAGACCTTCAATTATTTCCAGATAATGCAAACAGTGGAGTAGGACTGCCTGCCGTATCTCAACAGGGATGCTTCCCTGTTCCCACAAATCAGGGGCAGCCACCCTGAAAGCCTTGCTCTGAGTTACTGCTCTGTGCCCAACAGCAGTTTCTAATCACTGTAAAAATCTGTGATCTTTGATGAACTCTCTGTGTGTTTTTAAACCATCAGGTCCCCATCAAAGCCTGGTTGAGGGCATATGCTTTGGAAAACACCTTCCAGTGGTTCAGTTCCCTGCCTGGTGGTTTCATGGTAAGCTTCTCTGTAAGCAACACTGAAGTTTCCGTCACAAAATTTTCCCTCCGGAAAGCTCATCAGCATTTTGGTACAAATGTCTCGTAACAGGCACATTTCTGGCTGCAGTTTTGGCTAATACACACTCCTATGCAATAAATTTTCCTCTAATTGTAATACATTTTTATGCACACTGTTCTCTAATATGTGCATTTTTTTCTACATGATGTTTGCTCGGAGAACTGCATTGCAAAATTCAGAAAAGCAAAAAATTCAAAGGATAGCTGTATTTTGGTTTGTGTATTCATTCAAGAACTGTGAATTAGGTAGTTCCAATGCAAACAAAATCAAGCGCCTTCTCCATCCCTATTTAGCTGTCATAACTTGGTACCTGACTTGCCTATTAATACATGCAATCCTCTGCATCTGGTGTGGGAAACCTTTGGCCCTGCAGACAGTGCTGAAGTACAGCTCCCATCAGCCTCAGCAGGCATGGGCAATGACCAGCAATTATGGGAGCTGTACTTCAAGAAAGAGGGGGGTGGGGCTTGCCTGAGTGACCCGGTGAATTTGAACTTATTGAGCAGAAAGGAGTTTTAGCCTTTCCCCTGACATCCTAGTGTTCCAGGTGCATGGAGATAGTTGTGAGAGAGAGCATTTGCACATACAATCCCTCTATCTGCATTTTAAAATGCAGTCCTAAATGGCAGGAGCACCAGAGCAGGTAGAAAGAAATGATGTGTTTGGTTGGAACCCTTCTCTCCTGACATGCTAGCTTTCTACATGAGGTGTGATGATATTCCCCCCACCCCTCAACACACACACAAGATAGTGTTCAGCCCTGCAAGCTTGACCAGCTTTGGCCAGCTCTTAACCCTCTGTCCTCTCTTGGTTGCTGCAGCTGGAGTACCAGGATACAGCCACTGTCCAGCTCCGTTTCCTGAAGCTTCATAGTAGCCTGGCCACCCAGAAGGTGTCGTATTCCTGCAGACCCTATCCAGATGGGGGCAAGCTGCAGCTGGAAAAAGAAATCAAGTTCCTTACCGACTCACATGAGCAGAGTTACGTGGCTGTCCTTGAAGGATGCACAGTAAGTGGAAGAAAATGGATGACTGACATAGGAAGCTGCCTCTGAGTCAAACCATTCTTCCCATCTTGCACAATATTGTCTACACTGTCTGGCATGAGATCTCCAGGGTTTCAATCTCTCCCAGGCATGCCTTGAGATGCCAAGGGTTGAGCCTGGGACCTTCTGCATGCAATATAGTTGCCCTACCACTGAGCTACACCCCCTTCCCTACAATTTTAGTGGAGTGGAACAGGGGTGAAAAGCACCATCTATATGTCCACCCTAAAGTATGAAGAATTTCTCCTCGTGCATAAGGGGAAAGTCAATACAGAGGACACTAGGAGGGTCCTTTACTTGGTCAAACAGAAAAGCGGCTGCTTGGGAGAACCTACAGAAGTGGAGTCCACAGGCCTATAAATTAGATGGAGGCATCCCCTCACCTTAGCTTTATGCATGCATAAAAATGAGGCCACCTTCTCAGAGGAAAAGCATGCCTGCATTATCTGAGCTGGGTGCCAGATTCAGCAAGAAGAACAGGGTGCCTGCTCTCTATCAGACTCACTCAAGGCTGGGTTTGGCCTGCATAAACATTCTTAACAAATTCCTAATATGACTTGATTAATCTGATTCTTCTAACAATATCCTTAATGCAGTCTGAGTAAGGGGAATTGGCTGATTCCCCTTACAGTGGTGCCTCGCAAGACAAAATTAATTCGTTCCGCGAGTTTTTTCGTCTTGCGGTTATTTTCGTCTTGCGAAGCACGGTGTCGGAAAAGTTTTGGAAAAGCTTCAAAAATCACCAAAGTCTTCAAAAACCTCAAAAAAGGCTACCACACCGCGTGCTATGAGTTGCTCCTCGAAGTCAAGTTGCAACTGTATTAATGGTTTTAAGAAAAGGAACAAACTTGCAAGACGTTTCCGTCTTGCGAAGCAAGCCCATAGGGAAAATCGTCTTGCGAAGCAACTCAAAAAACCAAAAACCCTTTCGTTTTGCGAGTTTTCCGTCTTGCAAGGCATTCGTCTTGCGAGGTACCACTGTACAGTGGCCATGCCCACCTGTCTATGTTATCTTGCAACAGGTAGGGCAGATACAGATCTGACCTGCCAGCACGATGGGAAATTATTCACACACTTTTCTCAGCCTATCTTCAAAACAATATAGTCTAGCAAGTTGCATGTGTGAAGGTTTTGTGTTGCAAAATGAAATATTTGGCTCTGATTTGGCTCTTGCCCAATAATTCTGCCTTGCATATTTCAGCTGGACAATGAATCTTCTATCATTGACACCATCTTCCATTTCTCCACCGAGGACCTTACCCTTTTGCCTGTGCGTGACCTAGCTGTGTTTCACAATGGGGACGTCTCTCATCAGTTCGGGTTCACAGTTGGGCCTGTTTGCTTCAGCTAAGATTGACTTTGAACAAATGAATGCATCTTTCCTCTTGTGGAAGTAAAACTTCAGAGAAAAGAGAGAAAATCTTGTACAGAACAAGGTGGCGCTTAAAAGCTACTGTTCCTATTTATGAGTTCTTTGTCTAAAGTTGCATTCCTTCTGAAGGATATTGTTTTACAACTCATTTCTATGTGTAAAAAGGTGTTAATTTAAGTCACAGTGGAGATGTTATTGAATTACCTTGAGCATAGCTGTCAACTTTTCCCTTTTCTTGCGAGGAATCCTATTCGGAATAAGGGAATTTCCCTTAAAAAAGGGAAAAGTTGACAGCTATGACCTTGAGGGAGGCTGCTTACTCTTTTTATGGTCTTTATATTTAACAACCACAGAATCCTGGTGCAATTTCTTTCCTCCAGTGTGCAGTGATGGGGAAAAATTGAACCTGTTGATTTTCAACCTGGTCTGTACCTATTAAAGTTGTTGTGCCTTTAGAAACATATTAACCCTTAATTACATTTGTAAAATTCACCCAGTAAATTAATGCAGCTTAGTGGAGCTAAATGCAATCAGCATTAGTCCTATTTTGAAGTGCTGAATTGCACAAATAACCTGTGGTCCCTTTCATGGGGTCAGTCCAAGGTGACTTTGCTGTTGTTTTGTATACTCTGTGGCCCTCTGTTCCCATGAATCTGCAGTGTTCTATTCTGAGAGGCATAACACTTAGCATGTTAAATTAGAGGGAAGGAACTTGATCCAACCCACTGGCCAGTTCCATATATCTCCCATAGCCTGAAGGCCAACTCTGATGGGAATGGGGTAGAACTTCACACCAGTCATTCACAGTAATGTCAGCTGACCTGTTTTCCTTTGCCCTCAGTGTTTGAATTCAGTACAGTAGGTTAGTTTCTACATGCACTCACACACTCCTCTCTATCTCCCATCCAGACAAGCAAGAGGCATTATCAGAGTTCAAGGACACATTTCAGACAGGCAGCAAAGACCCAATGAGGGTACCAAACAGGGCTGGTGAGGGGCATGGCCCAGGGAGATGTCTGAGGGCCAGATAGAGAGGTCTAGAGGGCCACATTTGTCCCCTGTGCCTAAGGTTCCCTGGCCTAGGGAGAGGCCTGGTGGGCCACATCAGACCTGCCAGCTGGAGGTTCCCTTTTCTTGGTTTAAAACAACTTGAAAAGTGCAGGATTCCAGAACTTGGTTTGGGGTTTTATTTTATTTCAAGGACTGCAAACCTGAGGCGTGTTTTCCTCTCTGTGTGAAAAGGCACAATTGCAAAAACTGGTCCACCACTCCCTCATTTTGTCCTTGTAAAGCAAAAGCATTCCAGTGTTTCTCCCCCCTCATTTTGGAGAGGAATGAAATGCTAACATCTGACTATGTGCTACTGTGCATTGTGAACATCAACAGGCAAATGCAGGAGATCAATCAATTACGATGCACATCACAAAGGGGATGTATCCAGGGGCATAGCTAGCTGCTCCAGCACCCAGAGCAGCAGGGGCGGGGCGAGCTGCCCAGGGGGGCACCATGGCAAGCTGCCCACGTAGTCCGCCTAGCAGACACAAGCCCCATGCTGCTGTTTCGAGCAGTGCAGGGCCCCGAGCCACTGTGTCACTCCCAGGAGAGATGCATGGCTCGGGCGCACTGCAGGCCAGTCCCCGTGGTAAGTGCTGCCCCCCGCGGTGTGCCATTTTGTCACCCCCCTCAAGGATGACACCCGGGGTGGGCTGCACCCCCCCTTCCTACACCCCTAGATTCATCACAAAACAAAGAGAGTGAACTAAATTTGCACTTGCTGATATATATGTGGATAGATGCCAATTTAGGAATAATGACTATAATTTAAATAGAAATGCATTATATAGTGATCAGTTTTATTACAATCGAGGGGCATTCAAATTTTGTTAAATAAACAGGTAGATTTGGATTTTTGGAACAAGAGAATGCCTTCAAATAAAGATCTGTCTTCCATAAACAAGGAAGGTCCTATGTTTCGGGTCCTATGCCCAACCTTGTTTAATACAAATTCCAAAGGAATCTGGAACACTAATGATGCAAAATGCCTCATGTTCCACAAGATACCAAAAAAGTTTGTTCATTTTGTCAGTAACTTAATTTGTAGCCACTAGAGAGCATCACAGAGTCACTGAAGCTCCTTTCTAAGAAGGGGGGGATCATGTTTGAAGAGGAGAAGCTGCAGAGAAGGAGGAGTCATTCGGATTGGATTTCTACTGCTTCCTACCAATATGCTTGTTTTTATGGGTTTTTAATAAATGGATTTCTAGCTGGGGGGGAAATAGCATTTTCTCTCTCCCTCGTCCCCGGTCCTCATAACAATGCTTCTAAATAGAAACTAAGTTGGAAATGTTTAATTTTTCATAGGTAGAAATGGACAGTTGTTTTCTTTTATGTTCAAAAAAAGCCTTGCTAGGAAAGGGTTAAACTGCTAAGTATACTTTTGGTGAGCTTTCTAAGAGGAGCAATGACTCATGGCAGTCCTAAACCTCAGATAGGAGAGCCCTTTGAGATAAGAAGGAAGGCATTTATTGTCAGGGGAGGGGGGTTATGACTTTGGTCTTGAAGATACTAGCTGACAATGAGAGAGGAGAGGAAGAGAAGTAGAGAACCTTTGGTCTTAACAGATGTTGCTGAACAGATGTTACAACTCCCATCATCCCTGGCCATTGGCCATGTTTGCTAGGCTGGTGGGAGAGTAGATTTGGTGCATTCTCTTCACTGCTGTGCTGAAGGCTTTTATCCCTTCGAAGAGTTGGTGTGATGTGCTAGTTATTTATGTGCCATCATTGTCTCTTGGCCTAGGCTACCTCATAGGATTGTTGTGACAATAAAGGGAAGGGATAAATAAACCATATATGCCACTCTGATATCCTGAGAGGGAGGACGCAACACAAATCCAAGAGAAAGGCTTTGCAGAGCAAGTCTTGCAAGATGCTCTGGTTTTATCCTGCAGTTCGCACTCTGCAAACCACTCAATTGGTCCCAACCTTGCCGCTCACCTCTTGCAAAGTTCATCCCAGTCCTAGATCATTTTTTGGGCAGAGTTGCTTTCCTCTCAAAACGGATTGGAAGATTTCAGGCTACACACCTTCTCACCAAAACCTTGCCTGGACTCCCCAAGGGGTGCTTCTTAACTGTAGCCTCACAACACCACTTCTCCTAGCCCAGGACACAAACGAAGAGCACAGCAACCCCTCCAGTAACAGTTACACAGATTATAACGTGTTTTTCGATCCGGAAGTGGCTGGGAAGCATGTTTCAACAGGAGGAGGACACCTCCCAGCCAAGGGCTGGCAGAATCTCTGAGAATGTTTCCCTGCTGTGTTTGCCAAGGAAAGCAGTGGTAAAACAGAGGAAATGGGATACCTTGTGCATACTGCAGGCACACTGCAGGCTGCAGAATCTTGCTCTCTCTCACCTAGACAGCTCAGGCAGGGGAAAGCACTGCATTTACAAAGTTTTGAAGATCATACCCAGGAATGGTTTTTGCAGTTTCTCTCCTCCTTTGCTCCTTGGCTACAATCTCAGTCCACATCAAAGGTGGGTGGGGTAAGGGAGGCAGACTGCTTTCTCTGCATGCCCCACATCTAGAACAGGGATGGGGAGCCTGTAGGCCTCCCTATGTTATCACAGAATTGTGAAGTTGGAAGTGACAATGAGGGTCCCCTAGTCCAACCCTCTGAACTCACAACCCTGAGAGTAAGAGTCTCATGCTCTACCAACTGGACGTAGGCCATCCTGGCTCAGGCTGATGGGAGTTGGGAGTCCAAGAACATCTGCAGAACCACAGCTTGGAGAGGAGGCACAGGATACCTTTCTCCTTCCCTTCTCTCTCCCCTGTCACTTGGCAGTGGCACCTTCAGCTTCGTCAGTGAACTGGGACAGAAGAGAAGGTCTGGAAGCCTAGAAGAGAATGAGTGCAAGTGCAGGAATCTTCTCTGGCATAGCTTGAAATATCAGGTGGGGGAAAGGGAGAGGGCAGTCTTAAGAATCACTTCTTACTTGAGGTGAGCATTACAGTCTCCTAAGATCCAAAAAGGGCCCCTGCATATGGGTGTTTGTTTCTGCAGGTATGTTCTACATGCCTCTGATGCAGTGAGAGTGTGTTAGTAGTGGGCTGTCCCCATAGTATTCTGCTTTATTAGTTGTTCTGAGATGCTTCCACAAGGATGCTTGCCACGTTATTGCCAGCTGGGTGGTGCGCTCTTCTACTCTTCCAAGAAATGAATCCAACAAAGCTGAATGTTGGAAAATTTAGGACAGATTAAAGAGAGTCCTTCACCCAGAATATAACTGAACTATGGAACTCTGTCCCACAGATGGTAGTGACGGCCACCAGTTTAGATGGCTTTAAAAAGAGGATGATACAAATCCATGGAGGACAGGACTATCAACTATCATGTTCTCCCTCCACTGTCAGAGATGTTGGGCCACTGAATACCAGCTTTTGGGAATCGCAAGTAAGGAGACTGCTGTTTCGTTCCTGCCCAGGCTTCCTGGCTGACCACTGGACGAAGAACAGGATGCTGGACTAGATGGGGCATTGGCCTAATCCAACTGGCTCTTCTTATGTTCTTAAAGGTGGGACAAAATGCCCCAATGTAACGTGTGGTATGAAATGTGAAGGATTTCAGCATGAAGCGACGGGACATGCACAGACTGGAAACAATGCAGAATGCTCAACACTGAAATGTTTGCAGGTGCAAACTATAGAAAGTGGGATTGCCTAGAGCTGTCCTGAAGCCAGCATTGGCATAGGGGCCAGAGTATTGGACCAGGACCAGGACCTCGGAGACCAGGGTTTTAATCTGTACTCAGCCATGAAGTTCACGGGGTAACCAGCGGCCAGCCACTCCCTCTCAGCACTTCCTACCACGCATGGTTGTTGGGATTAAATGGGGAGGAGGAGAACCATGTATACTGCTTTGAGTTCCTTGGAGAAAAAGGTGAGATAGAACAAAAATAAACCAATAAAGATAGAACAACAAATCAATAAATCACAAGCACAAATAATCACAATTGCACAATAAAAAGGACATCTGGCAGGGTCCAGAGTCTAAGCAATGCTGCTGATTATTTGCACCAGATGCACCTCCCTGACTGTTCTCTGTAAACCTTTATGGTTTGGGAAAGGAGAGAAATTCCAATCTTTAGGACGGGTGCTTGCCCAGGTTTACAGACTGGGCTGTGTGTCTACCAGAGAGGGGAGGAGAGTGTCTTGGTAGATTTGCTCAGGATTTCTGTTCAACTCATTTTCAGTTTTAAAGCTGGCCAGGAAGTCTCAAACTATGTACCTCTGTTTGCACAGGTCTGCTCAGCCTACGCTCTGGTGCCCAATTTAAAAGGGAATCTTTAAGAAACGGCTTTGGGGTGGGAGGAAAGAAAGAAGCCAGCACACGAGAGCATTGCCCCCCTCCCTTACTTTTTCCTGTAAAGCAAACACCTCGATTCAGTTTTTCCACTTCTGCATTCATTTGGCACCTACCCACTAGGCCAACAGGAGGAGGGCTCAGACAAGAGACGCCTCAGCCATGTTCCTTTTGCAAAGTAGGTGCTGGAAGAGGTGTGTTTACGCAAAGAGAGGGAGGGAGGGAGAGCACAGGCCATGGGCCAATAACTCTCCACCTCCCGCCCCCCGCCCCCCAAGTCATTCCTCCCCACTTCTTCGCTTAGGTTGAAGTTCCCACACCTTCCCCTGTTTCTGGATCCTGTCTCTGCAGGACACACCTGGAGATTAGGGCAGGAGGAAGCCTGTACAACTGGGTTTATGAGAACGACTTGGGCAAGGGAACTCTTGCAATCGTGGCTGCGGCAACGGCAGAAGTGCAGGGTGGGGAGATTTGGTTCCAAGAAGCAGCTGCTGCACACAGTGCTGGTGGTGGTAGGAGAGGCAGGGGCCCTTTTCACCCAGAGGGCCACACTCCCTTCTGAGCAACATTCCAAGGTCCGCATATCCATGGAAGGGAAAGTGGCAAAAGCAAGTGTAGCAATGAATGTGAAAGTCAATCCTTCTACAACAAGCAAGTTCCTACAAACACCTCTCTGTCTTCCATCCAGGCAAGCAAGAGGCACAATGTGAGTTCAAGGGTGCTTGCCAGTCTGGCAGAAACAAGGATAGTGTGAGGCCAGGCCAGTGATGGGTGTGGCCTGGGGAGAAGGGGACTTTCTGCATGCTAAGCAGATGCTATACCCCTGAGCTACAGCCCTTCGCTTTGCCCATGAACTTGGAGCAAAGCTTGCTCCTGACACACTCAGCAACAAGAAAATTGCAGCTGTAGGAGTTCTACACAGCCTGGGTGCCAGGAAGTAATGGGGAGGTGCTTTTTTGGAGGGGGGGGATATAGAATTGTTCCACTGGGGAGATTTTGCCATTTGTAAGATGGCCTTTACTTCTCAAATGCAAGAACATTTCCCGCCCACCTCAGACAAATGAGGATCTGTAAATAAATGCTGACTCCAAAAGACGGGATTTGATGGCATGTTGTTCCAGCCTCCTGGCTTCTACAAATGGGGAAAGGAATTGCTGGGGCACTGTGACACAGTCCTTTTCCTTGTGAGAAACGAAGCCTTTATGGTGCTTTGGGAACACATTTTTATTTATAAACTTACAAGTTGAGTGGGAAGGGAGGGGTCAGGAAAGTATCCAGTCAGACAACAACACTAGTTGTTAAAGCAACATAGTACCTACCTCCCCTGCCAGTGACCCTGTACTTAAGTCACGAGGAAAGATATATGATAGAACTATAGAGATGTAGAGATTTAAGGGACCCTAGTCCACCCGCGTGCAATGCAGGAATCTCAGCTAAAGCATCCATGGTAGATGGCCACCCAAACTCGGCTTAAAAACCTCCAAAGAAGGAGAGTCCACAACTTCCCGAGGGAGACGGTTCCAATGTTGAATATCACCGTCAGAAAGTTCTTCCTGATGTTTGACTTGAAGCCATTCTCCAGAGCAGGAGAAAACAAGTTTACTCTATCTCCCATGTGACAGCCCTTTAGATATTGAAAGATGGCTATCATATCTTCTCTCAGTCTGCTGTTTTCCAGGCTAAACATACCCTTGATCATCTTGGTTGCCCTCCTCTGCATGCATTCCAGCCTGTCAATATCTTTCATAAATTGAGATGCACAGAACTGGGCATAGTACTCCAGATGTGGTCTGACCAAGGGGGAATAGGTAAAGGTAAAGGGACGCCTGATCATTAGGTCCAGTCGCGGACAACTCTGGGGTTGCGGCACTCATCTGGCTTTACTGGCCGAGGGAGTACAGCTTCTCGGTCATGTGGCCAGCATGACTAAGCCACTTCTGGTGAAACCAGAGCAGCACACGGAAACGCCATTTACCTTCCTGCCAGAGCGTTACCTATTTATCTACTTGCACTTTGATGTGCTTTCGAACTGCTAGGTGTACAGGAGCAGGGACCGAGCAATGGGAGCTCACCCCGTCACGGGGATTCGAACTGCCGACCTTCTGATCAGCAAGCCCTAGGCTCTGTGGTTTATTACTTCCCTTGATCTGAACACTATACTTCTGTTGATGCATCCTAAAATAGCATTAGCTGTTTGGGCTGCTGCATCACACTGCTGACTCATGCTGAGCTTCTGTTTTTTGTTTTTTTTTAAAGATATTTATTGAAATTTTCAAAGTGTTACAAAAAATAAAAAATAAAATAGAAGCAGAAGAAAGTACAAATAAAAATAGTTGACAAAGTAGAAAAAGAAGAAAAAAACCCCTTCCCACCATATGAGTAAAAATTCAAAATAAAAAAAAGTGACAGAAAAAAAGAAAAATACAAAAATACATCACAAACCGTTAAAAACATTTAAAAACAAATTCATTATTTTCAAATCCTTAACTGTCATTGCCTTCTTTCTTAGACCTCCTCCTCCTCCCTTTCTTTGTATCCTAGTTATTAATTATCCCAGCAAATCCTTTCCATGTTTCATAATATTCTGTCATTACATTACCCTAAACTGTTTTAATCTTATCTTTCTATAATAAAATAAACCTTAAAGCTTAAAACTTAAATCTTATCCTTACCAAATTCTCATAACCATAATATTCTTTCATAATTCTTTAAACATCTTTGCTAAAGCCAAGTAATTTCATTCCAACATTTTTCTAACATTCATCAATTTTATAAAACAGTTCTAATGGTAGAGAAAGAGATACAAACAAATCCAATCTTCATCCAACGTCCCTTCCTCCTGGTTCCGGGTTTTGTCAGTCCTTATTATCCCGTCGATCTAGCCCATTAACCTGGCAACCTTATATCCGAGGCCCTCAAGTCTCTTCCATGTCCCTTCCGCAACTCTTTTTCATATTTGTAACTGTATTTTCCCTTGTCTCCTGCTTGTGGTAACTCCAGCTTGACAATGTTCTTAACCCTTCTCGACAGATCAGCCCCTTTTCCATATTCAACACTGAATTCCATGTAGTATTTAAAAGCATGTTTCAAAGACCCTCCAAAATTAAGAGCCCCCACAAACCCAAACATCTCACGGCCCATTGCCATATTTGAAAAGTCCAAATGTCCCAGCATAGGGGGGTCAATCCAGCCCCCCATTTCCAAGCGAAACCAAACTTTTCCTTTCCAAATCTGGCTTTTTCCAAGTTCATTTGTCAAATCCGAAAACTCATATTCCTGTTGGGCCTGTTCTGTCAAGACACACTCCTGATTTAATTCCTGAGTGGGCTCCACATATTTTCCCACTGTCTGTTCAAAATTTCCCACTGC